TGTGTGTGTGTGTGTGTGTGTGTGTTTCGTACTTTCTTTCCACAAACGACATGAAGGTCTAGAGTTGTCTCAAGAGTGCACCGGTGAACAAAGCCTGCCCTCGCCTCTCAGTTCTAAGCTCTTCTGACCTGTAGAACTTTCTTCCAGCCCCACTTCCCATGATCAGTGTGTGTGTGTGTGTGTGTGTGTGTGTGTGTGTGTGTGCGCGCTTGCGCGCGCGCGCAAGCCTGAGATTACACCATACAATGTCTTCTGCATCTTACTTTTGCCCACAGAGGCCCTGCTGGACTCAGCCCCGCTCTGCGGAGATCAGGAGGGACTCCGCAGGAAGGTGGGAACTCTGGCGCGGGACCGAGAGAGGCTGGAGCGGAGGGTCTCCGAGCTGCAGCGTGACAATGACAGGCTGTGGGTGGCCACGTCCCGCCTGCAGACAGAGGCCGCCCAGTACCTGCAGCTCCTCGCCGACCTGGAGGACTGCAACCGCCAGAGCTACGAGCGGCTGCTGGCGCTGGACGAGGAGAAGCGGGCCCTCCAGGGCGCGCTGGCTCAGGCTGGGCGTGCCGCGCGGGAGAAGGAGGAGCTCTGGGTGCTGGTGTCTGAGCTGGGCGCCGGCTACCAAGGCCTGGTCCAGGATGTGGTGCTGGGCATGGACGCTGTCCTTGCTGGCCTCCGGGTGGAGAACGACAGGCTGCTCGGCAGGGTCCGAGAGCTGGAGCAGGGGCTATCCTTGGAGAGCAGGGGGCAGGGGGTCCTGCCGAGAGCTGTGGACAAGGCTGTTCAGGCAGCTCAGCTGTCGGGGCACCAGCTTGCCCGGACCCCCACGCTGTCCTGGGAGGAGGCCAGGGGTCAGGGTGGAGGGCAGGGCCACCCTTTGTTGTGTGCAGAGGATCCCGGGATCAGTGTGGACTTTGCTGCTCTGTCCTCCACCTGGGGCAGCATCCTGACATCCCGAGTCCAGGAGGTCACCATCGGAGCAGGAGCGGGCCCAGCGGGGGTGGACACAAAGGAGAGTGGGCCACGGTGCTCTGAGGACCAAGGTCGAGAGGTAGGTGGCTCTGTGCAGCTGCTCTGTGAGTCCAGTCCCCGTCCCGGGCTGGCCCTGTGCATGGCCCTTCCTGCAGCTGCTGCCGCCGTCTTGGCCTGTGTTGCTGCCG